CTTTGATCTTCCTTACGCTTCTGTGCATGCCTGTGGTCACAAAAACACACCCACACCCGCCCACCTATCCACACACACACACACGACTCGTCTACCAAGCATTTCACACATTCACAGATAATTTTTTTAAGCCTCTATTTACCCAGCTGCTATTTTTCACTTTGTAAGGTCAAAATCTGGTTTCAAAATAGACGTTCAAAGTTGAAGAAACGCGGTGTTCAAATCACCGATAACTCCGATGGCAGCTCCAACAATCTCGAGGAGTCTCGAACAGAAACAGTGAGTATCTTTTAAATGGTCTAGCGGAGGAGGTATTGGGGAAATTTTTAGGAGCCAAGTCTTCCACTCTCTCAGCAAATATAGCGTGTAATTGCTTGCTTTTGTTTGGTTGCAGACAAGTGATGACCAAAACTCCCAGTCTACGCTGCCAAGACCCAGTAGCGCAGAGTCTATAAATGGATTTAGTAATCCCCAAGGCAACAGCTGTCCTGTCTCCACACCCAATTGGAGCTACACAGATCGACCGAGTCCAGGGCTGACAGAATTGAGCACTGAGGTTGGAGACATAACTCGACCAGCTGAACATCTTATGTCCCATCCCAGCCAAACAATGGCAATAACTTATTCCACTGCCTCTTACACCATGCCAACAACGATTCCCTCAACTTCAAGTGGAGCACTACCAGTTAGTTGTGTGGGGTACTTCCAACCATCCATGACAAATCAAGATTCCACATCATTGAGAGGCAGCTTTGAATGGCAGTCAGGCATGAGACAGGAGGTCAATTCAACCCTTCCATCCACCTCCTCATGGGAGGCCTCCAGTCGGGCAGTTCAATCCCAATCTCAAGCCTCTCACCCAGTGATGAGTCTTTATGGCTGCACACATCGCTCCTCAACACCACAACAACAACAACAAGCGCCACAACAACACTCCCACTCCTATCCACCACAGTGGTCAGGTGGTGATTCAAATTACAACCAAATTGCCTCCACAGATATGCCAATCAGCTATGGATATGCTCCAACCTATACCAGTTCCACTTGGCAAAGTCAAACAGAGGCAGTAGAAACGGACTATTAGTCACCTTCTGTACAAAAGGACTTGACGTTAACGTTACTATTTTTTACACTGCTCGATACACCTGCATCATAGAGTAGAATGAGTTTGAATTTTCGCCTTCCACGTTTCTCCCCTTTTGGTTAGCCTTCTGTCATGGATGTGTAGAGTTAAAAAAAAAAAAGGCTGAGTGTGGAGATTGGATGAAGTCATCGTAGCAAGCGGTAGTTGCTACCCTATGGTTTAAACCATTAGGCCCGTGGCGGTAGGATTTGGGAGAGGGAGGGAGGAGGAGGGAGAAGGCGGTAGACCGACGTCGTCCAGGTGTTGATTCTGAGGTCAACCTCAAAACACGGTCACCTACATGATATAGCATAAATTTGGCTATGTCAACCTTGACAAGGCATGGGAGAGAATAATGACATAGATGGAGAAAATTAACTTTTACCTAATAGTGCCTCATCAGTACCA